ATATTTGGATAAACATGATGTCACTCATAAAAATTTATGTCCCTGCCATATTTTCATGTCTCTACCAGACTTTCATGTCACTTACGGATGTCACTGGCTCACTGCTGCCGTGATACATGTCACTGTGACCTTCATAAAATTTTCCGGTGACTTTTTTAGGCAATTTTTGAAAAATATGAAGAAAAAATCATCAGATATGGCGGCGGTTTATGGCGACTTTTCCTGTGGCAGTCTCTTAAAACTTTTCCAGCAGCGGTTTTGTAAATTTTCCGGCAGCAGTTTCTGGCAACTTTTCCAGCGGCGGATCCCACCGTGGCTGTGAAGGTGTGGGGGGGAGGGGGCTGGGGCAGAATTTTGATATAAAATATAATGAAAAAAAGATGAATGAATTAAACAAAAGCTTAATCATATTTTTGGAAAAAGGTTAATCATAATTTTTGTATTTCATGAAGCTATATGTAATATTTGTATCCTTATTCCAAGTTTAAAATGTTTGTGTTCAGTAACTGTGGTTTGCATTTTCTCTCAGATGCAAAAAGCTGGGTTTTCTGCTCCAACACCTATTCAGGCACAATCATGGCCTATAGCGATGCAAGGCCGAGATATAGTAGCTATTGCGAAAACTGGTTCAGGCAAGACTTTAGGTTATTTGGTTCCCAGTTTTATGCATCTCAAAGGGCGTCGTAATAATCCAAAAATGGGCCCAACTGTTCTGGTGTTATCACCAACAAGAGAATTGGCAACACAAATACAAGATGAAGCTGTGAAGTTTGGTGCTTCTTCACGTTTTGCTTGTACGGTATGATGGTTTATTTCTTTAGCTCTTCTGATGATATAATAATTCTTTCTTCAATACTATGTTTTCTTCACGTGTCCATTGTTCGAGATATGTTTCCAATGTGACAGTGAAGGGTTTGACTTATTTTTTTTTTTACTTTTCTCACCATGCCTGGAGTAGAGATGACATGCAATTTCATGTTTTTCTCCTAATGCACTTCTATGTGATGAATACCAAATCTTGCATTGATCTTTTCAAAACATAATAGAAATCACGTGGTGCATCGTGTATATTACAATGATAGTTGATAAATATTGCTTGTTTTATAAAACCATTCCCTCTTGTTGCATTGTGAAAAGTAGTTGCTGGCGTACTTATTTCTTATTGATCTTGTGGTATTTTATAGTGTCTCTATGGTGGTGCACCCAAAGGTCCCCAGTTAAGGGAGTTAGATAAAGGTGTAGATATTGTGGTGGCTACTCCTGGCCGTTTAAATGACATTTTGGAAATGAGAAGGGTTAACCTTCAACAAATATCATATTTGGTATTAGATGAGGCAGACCGCATGCTGGACATGGGGTTCGAACCCCAGATAAGAAAGATCGTTAAGGAGGTTCCATCTAAGCGCCAGACTTTGATGTACACAGCAACATGGCCAAAAGAGGTCCGTAAAATTGCTGCTGATCTACTGGTTAACCCAGTCCAGGTTAACATTGGGAATGCTGATGAACTTGTTGCAAATAAGTCTATTACTCAGGTTGTTGCACTGCTCTTCTCTCTTTCTCCATTTTCCTCTGTTTTAAAGCCTGTTATTTTTTTTTGTGAATATAGAGAAAAATGTTTGTTTATTCTACAGCAAGTTTTTTCCATGTAAAATCAAAGGTAAACAAGATGTAATTAGTTCTTTTTAAAATTCTAAAATATTTATATTTCTTGGTCCACTGGATTTACATAAATAAAGGCATATAAACTAATATCTAAAATAATCATTGAATTTTAATCAATTAGCTCTCTTTTATTTCCCTTTACATTTTCTTTCCTATTTTTTATCTATGTTTTGCTACCTATAATTTTCCTCTACTATTAGTCAGTTTGAGTAATGTGTTAATCTTTTTGTGCTGCAGTATGTTGAAGTGTTATCATTTATGGAAAAACGACGCAGGGTAGAGGAAATACTGAGATCCCAAGAGCCAGGGTCAAAGATCATCATTTTCTGTGCGACAAAAAAGATGTGTGATCAACTAGCTGGTAACCTCAACCGAACATTTGGGGCAGCAGCCATTCATGGGGACAAAAGTCAGGCTGATCGAGATTTTGTGTTGAATCAGTTCCGCAGTGGTAGATCACCGGTTCTTGTAGCCACTGATGTTGCTGCTCGTGGTTTGGATGTGAAAGATATCAGGTTGGTATCTACCTTTACTGGCAGTATTATACGGAGTGATATCTATAACTAAAATTCATAATCATCGATTTCAGTTTTTATTGTCTTACCATATTACTCGTACTCCAAAAACAAAAAAAAAACATGTCACCTCCTTCAGAAAAGCAAGAAAAGCATGCAGATGTATTTAGTATTCTATTCTTCTGCTCCTGCATGTGAGACTGGTTTTGGGTTTTCCTTTTTTGGGGCAGGGTTGTCGTAAACTTTGATTTCCCAACTGGAATAGAGGACTACGTGCACCGAATAGGAAGGACAGGCCGAGCAGGTGCTACTGGCGTGGCATACACATTTTTCACTGATAAGGATGGGAAGTATGCTTCGGATCTCATTAAAATCTTAGAAGGTGCAAGCCAGCGTGTTCCGGATGAACTACGTGATTTTGCTTCACGCGGTGGTGGTGGGGGAATGGGGAGGCCTAGTCGTCAATGGAGCAGTGGCGGTGGGAACTATGATTCTGGCTATGGCGGTGGAGGAAATGGTGGCTCTGGCTATGGTGGTGGAAATGGTGGCTCTGGCTATGGTGGTGGAAATGGTGGCTCTGGCTATGGTGGTGGAAATGGTGGCTTTGGCTATGGTGGTGGAGGAAATGGAAGAGATCAAGATTCTGGGTATGGTGGAGGACGAGACACAGGAAGGGGTGGTTGGAGTATGTCATCATCTGCGGGAAAAGGTCGAGAAGACAACCATGATGAGTCAAATGACAGGTTTCTCTTTAGCTTTCTCTTCTTCCAAGTTTGATGTGTTTTTGCCTTTTCTTTTCCTCTTTTATTTCAAATTTGAGAGTTAATAAAAATAATTGTCTTTCGACCTTAGGTATGGACAAAATAGTTCACGGGATGATGATGGTTCTGGAGGAGGTTCCAGTGGTCTCAGTTTTCATGAGCGTATGATGATGCAATCTGCTGCAAAGAAACCAAGGGTTGCTAGTCCTAACAGGAATGAGGGTTCAGGCTGGTGAGACCCCTGAGTAGTTATATTAATGGGGATATATCCATCCTTGCCTTTCTTTTTATGTATTTATTCCATCTTTTGCTTGACAGCTAGAACTTTAGAAAAAAATGTGCGATCAGCTTCTAATTGGTTTTTGCCTTATGTAAATCTGAATAACAGCTACAGAATGTTTTGTTTACTATGCTGAAGTACGATAGCGCCCTTGTAGCGGAAGTTTGAAAATTCTGGGGGTTAAGCTTATAAAACCACTTATGTACATTAATGTACTTGTGGTATGGTTCCTGTTCTTTAAAAGAAACACTTGCTGATTTTTCTTCATTTCTCTTGTCTTGTTTGTCACTCTATTGGGGCGGCTGTAGTGATAGATACGAATATACGATTTGGTTCTGATTCTAGAATGGTTTATTCCGGTTCCCAGGTCCGGTTCACCCGCTGGTTCTTGGTCCATTTCTCTACCCAGTTTTGGATAGTTCCCAACTATAAAAAGTTAGATTATAAAAAAACATGAACTTAAGTGGGTCTCTCCAAGACTCCAACACCAGCCATCAGATTTGGCCTGGAACTCCGGTTCAGTTATGGGTGAGAATGACCTGACTGTCCCTCTCCACTCCTAATCGGAGGTATCTTTAGGAAAAGTTTATGTTGTTGATAATGAATTGATAAACTATCCATATAATAATAATGTTTACTAATAATGTTTACTGTTACAAAAACATTATCAAATTTAGTTTGATAATACGATGATTTTAGGTAGACATTTTATTTCGGATATCTTTGGGAGGCAGATGGAGTATCCATTTGCAGTAAAACATTTATTGGAATTTTTCCTTCATTGACGACTTGAAGTACTGGTAAAAGTTTAAGCTCAAAAGAGTCAAAACCAGTTTCGCAATCCTGGTGTCTTTTGGATATCCATGTTATACATACGTTGTTTCAAACTTTATTTTCACCAAGTACAATTAGCAAATTTCAAGTGCATTTTAAAAAAGAAATGGAAAGCTTCCTGGTCATTCTAAGGGAGTGTTTGCAAAAAATCAAGTGTTTTTCAGCTCTTGAAAAAAACTGAAATGAGTATTTTCAAATAGTGTTTAAATTAAACGCTTAACAAAAAAGATGAAAGCAGGTGAAATGTGATTTAAACTGATTTTCACCTTTTTCTATTACACAAAAACATTTATTTTTCCAAACAATACCAACTTACATTTTTCAGAAACATTTTGTTCTTAAACATTATCTATTTTTACTATCAAACACTTTTTCCAAAATTATTTTAAGAAGTCACTTTTTTAAACTAGAAGCAATCGCACAAAAATAGTGTTTTTTGCCGAATCAGTTAAAAGAACACATTATGAAAGGATAAATGAGTTGGTATAGAGAAGAAAGGAATCAAAGAAATAATTTTCTTAGGTTTAGTATTACTTAAATCATTATCTACGTAATGTAAATTTCAGTCTTTAGATAATAGATAGATATCAACAAGTAAAACGAGTATCAATGTATCCAGAATAAAGTTCTCACCAGTGGGCGTAGCTCAACTGGTAGCAAGGGAGTGCCACAAGGGTTAAGTCCCAAGTACCGGGGACAGAACCTCACTCTCTATCTGTCAGATTGTGATTATAGTCCAATTTACATCCTCCCATCGTGCCGTCCGGTCGGTGGTGGTAGGTCCTCAGGGATGGGGTGTCATCTTTTTTTTTAGAATAAAGTTCTCGAGTTTTATCATGTCCCCCCACCACATTTTCATTCCTTCTCATTTTTCTCCGTCTTAATTCCCGTTTTCCCTCAACATCAAATGAGATCTAATTTGTAGTCTCCTAGCTGTTGTGCACACAACATAATTATTGAGATGCAAATCTCACTGAAGCAAAGTTTCCATAAACACATGTGATGTGCTCAGAAGGAATAAATTGTAATTTGATTTGTTTTGACTTTTGAAGCAAAAATGATTCATCACTATTCATATTATGAAATCCTTTAGGTTTCCTTAAAAACAGGACGGTTAACGCATTTAAGCCTGGCAAATGTTAAGTAGCCAGTATGCCCTCTTGACTCGCTAGAAGGCCTCACCATCACACTCCAGTTGTCTCCTCCAGACCCTCGCTTTCTCTTCTGTGTATGTTCCTCAATGGACTCTTCTTTGTTCAGGCTGTTCTCCATGCTTTTCTTCCCAACTTCATAGGCCCGGAGAAGCACTTCAAATGTTCTTATATCTATGCACATACATAAAAGCGTAAACAACATTAGATTCCTTCATGCCACACTATAGTATAACAAGGCAGAAAGAACATATCTACATCAGAACTACATGCTAAAGCACAAATACACCCCTCAACTTTCTCTAGGACAATAAAACACAAGAATCATCAAGCCAAAACAAATAGCCTGATTTTATTCACCCTTCCTAAAGAGGGTAGTGGTCACCCCTCACTTTCCTGCTTGCCATGTGGCAGTGCATTTTTTTCTTTTTTCTTTTTTCAAATTGTTAACTTTTTATTTTTAGTCCAATTTTTATATAAAAAATATATACTCCCTCCGTCCCAGAAACAAGTTCAACCTTTTCTTTTTGAACAATACCAAAATTAAGTTCCACTTTCAAACATTTCCTTATTTGGAAAATTATGTACATCAAAACATTGCCAAACAGTGTCCAAACAGTGCACTCCACAGTAAAGTTAAATTTATTTTCTTAATATGTGTGAAGTCAAAACCGAAACTTGTTTCAGAACCGGAGGGAGTTTGTAGTATCAAACTAAATACGTAGTATATTTTAATGATCTTTCCAATAGTACCCGTACTCCATATAAAAAATTTTAAAAAAAATCTATTTTTCTAAATATATATTATACCCATATTATTTTTTTAAATTTAAATATGCTATATTGGTACCATATGAAAGATCATAAAAATTAAATAATTGATATATATTCTTAAAAAAAATGGACCATAAATGAAAACGTTATAGCAATTGCAAAAAAATGAATGGATATGTGGCCTAGCAGCACAATAGGGTGGGGATGAACATCACCCTCCTTTGAGGGGTGAACAAAATTGCCTTGGAACAAATATACCCTTGAACATGTATCTGAGGGATATAACATGCTATGCTGCAGGGAAACAGGAAACACCATCCTTTATTAAAAAAGAGTGTTTGAAGTGTTTCTAAAGAGTTTTAAAAGTTACTTTCCGATGTATAAAAAAGAGTTCTCAAAGTTATTGAAACAGACACTCTTTCTAGAGAGTTCCTGTGCTCCAGGGAATAAAGCACCGACAGTTGTGTCCCAGGATATTTGTTGCTTCTCCCAAATATAATTTGCCCCAACAAACAGTTCAGCATAAAAATGAGATCAGTTACCTGTAAAACAATGAGATTCCATTTCTTGAGACGAGCGTTGGACTTGTTCAATGCATGGGGAGAAGGAGCACAAGATTCCATCTTCTTTTAACATTTTCCCAGCTGAAGGTATGGCTGTCCATGGCTGAGGGAGGTCGAGGAAGACAGAATCTGCCCTTCCGGTGAACTCTTCAGGGAACCCTTCACCTTGTATGTCTCTCACCCCAACTTTTACTAGCTCACTTATTCCTGTCCTCTCAAAATCATCCCTTTATGGAAGATTTTGAATTCTAGCGAGTGAGTCAGATCACATTAACTGAACTAAAATGTTGACATCACAAAACTTTTTGATCACATATGCTTACAGGGAGATAAAAGGCTTGAGCAAACAGCAAAGTCACAAACCTTGAAAAAGTGCTCAATTGGCTACTACAAAGAGCCTGTTTGGTAACACTGAAATTGACTGAACCGGTTGATTGTGACGAAACTGGCTGAAATGACTGAATTGACTGATTCTGCTCAATTATGAAAAAAATGAGATTTAAAGTATATTTTAATAATAAAATAAAAATAAAAACGATCCTCTATAGTAAGTCCAGCCAATTCAACCAGAAAAGCAACTTCAACCTTACTTATTTTAATTATTACACAATTCAGCACTTGAAATCAAAAGTTGAGTGTTTGGTGAAACTGATGACTGGTAAGGCTAATAAGCCACAAAAGGAGGTCACCAAACGGGCACAAAATAAAATGTCAAGTTCTTCAACAATGAAGCATTACCAATTTACCAGTAATTTACTATCATCCTCAACTTTGTTTGGGTTAGTGTCACCAAACTTACAGTGTCCATAAATTTCTAAGTTTATTTATCACTAGAGACTCATTCAAAGTTTAGCAGTTCACCTTGGAAGTGTAATGCTCCAATAGTCCATTCTAGGCTAAATCTAGGCATGGGCGGGGGTTGAAAATATTTTCCACATGTGATAATTATCACTCCGTATAAAGTATAAACAAGCCTTTTTAATACTTGATTTTATACATGCCAGCCCCCTAGTTTTAGAATATTAATCCCTCCCAGGAAAGAGTCATATCATCAAGGTACAACTTCAGTATGTTTGGTAATGAGTAGATCCGGTAAATTACATGATTTTTAAAACTAAACTAAACATATTCTACTTCTTTTAGTAAATTTTGATTTTTTATTTATTAAATTCAATGAAAATTGACCCTTTTGCTTACATAAGGCTTTCCTGAAAAAAAAAATGGAGTTTTGAAACATCATTAGATGGAGGGTGTACAATATATTTTAGGTATGTATGGTTATTATTATAATTACTACTACGTATAATATTTTTTTGAACTGTAAAGGTACTATGAAAAAGAACATACTGATATATAACTGAGTTTAACAGTATACTCCTTCAAATTGTTAACTTTAGGTTAACTGTTAACAGAACGAGAAATCCAAGTCTAGTATCCACACATTTCAGGTATTATGTATATCTTAGAATGAATCAACTGACATAATCAACATGAACTTTTCCAGTAAAGCAAATCATACTATATAAGGAAAATGTGCAATATACTGATATACAGTAGGAAAAAGATGTAGTTACTGAGTTATGGCCATTGTTAATACGCAGGAAGGGAAAAAATACCTAGCAGAGGCAGCTCTCTGTTCGTGAAAATCAAATGTGAAAACATGACCGGTGGGAGCAACAGCTCTCGCCAGCGAAGTGGTCAATGAGCCGCTACCCGTTCCCGATTCTAGAACCAAACAGCCCGGAACTATCTCCAGATACATAATCACGAAACTGATATCAGCGATGTACAGAATCTGAGTCCGGTGGCTCAGAACGAGTGTCCACAGCTCCGGCGTTGGGGCCAGCAGGTAAACAAACCCTCCTTTATGTCCAAATACTTTGGATCCGAAAGGTTTTCCTGTCCAATCCGAGTGCTGAAACGCCCCGAAACGATTTTGTACAACCCCGTCCTCTGAAACCATCACGGCTTTCATTGCGTCGTGCTTTTCATACACAATTACTAAATCTCCGTACTTAATGGTGCGATTAAACGACAATTTTTTGTCCGGGAGATCTTGAAGCACCATAGTGTTGGGTTTATTGCAGTGAACACCGCCTCAACTCCGGCGGGTGAACTTCGTAGTGGTGGGGAAAGTTAATGCACTCTGGATTGCCGATTGAAATAATGGGAATAGCATGAATTTGGGTTTAAGAATTTTCAATAATCAAGCAATTGGGCTTTTGATAAAAGTACTGTTAAACACGAAAGAACGGAGTAAGGGCATGTTTGGCACAACTAGCTGAAAAGATACTTTTTTTAGCTTTTTAATAGCTATTGGCTTTTAGTGACTGAAAAGATTTTAAAAAGAAAAGATGATAGTTGTTTGATAAAAAGCTGACTGTTTGATTTAGTTCGGTTTGGTATACAAGCTTGTTGGGTTAATGGCCCAAGCCGAGGTCCGGCCCATTAACCCCTTTTTACAAGACGTACGCCCAGTTAGAACACAAAGGTTAGCCCGCAGGCCCATGTTCCTTGGGGAGGGACGAACGTCTTGTGTTGAGGGCTCTTGGGCTCAACGGCTCACCGCGACGGACGTCTATGCAGGGACAAGGAGCAGGACCACGGGCCATCAGGGGTGACGACGAACGTCTCCTGAGCAAGCCCGTAGTCATCGGAGGAAACCCAGGAGACGAACAGCCGGAACCTCTTGAGGGTCACTTGGAACGATCCAGCTCGCTTCCCAGGCGGACGAACGTCCCCATTATTTAGGCGGGAAACCTAGATTCTGGCGGGAAGTGCATTTAATGCTGAAGATTTGGTGGTTGGGACACAAGCGGTCCACAGGCCTCCACGTCAGCATAGCCACCTGCCCATTGGCGGGTATAAATAGAAGCATTTATTTCATTGTAAAGGGTTGGCAACTTTCTATTCTTAGCATCCTAGCTTTAGCACTCTTACTCGCGGCATTTCTAACTGCCTTGTAAGACGAACGGCCGACGTGCCTTTTTAGCAAGTAGATTGTACTTAGGGGAGTTATTACGAAGTTAATAATACCTATTTACATTGCCTGCTACTTCCTCTGTTTCCTGATCCATCTGATAGTTGTTGGGCTAGATATTCATACATTCACTCCACTCGAAATCTTTGGGCTTGCGTGTTGGGTCTGAAGGTTGAAGGAATAAACCTCAACACTGGCGCCGTCTGTGGGAAACTGAACAAAAAGTTTCCAGAAACTCTCCCAAACAGCTACTACATCTAACCACTGGAAAACACGATGTCAGGAAGCAACAACCAGCGCGACCTCTCCGAACGTCTGGAGTCAAGCCGCCGGAATTGCGGCCAGAACTCGAAACTGTCCGCAACGATCTGGACCTCCGGGGGAAACGGGGGTATCACTGACCTCATTCCCCTTGAGGCCAGGCAGGATCCCCGCCTCATGCGGGAACTTGCCGACACCATGCGCCGTTTGGCAGACGAACGGGAGGCTCAAGAGCAGGTGTACTCTGCAAGCACCCAACGAACACCCCTCTCTCCCATCCGCCATATGCAGTCGTACGATGATACGACGGGGTCCAGCGACCACCGGCCCTCAGTCCATGAGCGGCTAGGTGGAGGTTCAGGCTCCCGTGGAACGGGAGGGCGAACCAAGGACAGCATCGCTGCTTTCAGGGCGCACACGCCATCAGTCCCCCGTCAAGACTCGCGGGGAGACGAAACCCCAAGGATCAACACCGCTGGACGACGATTCCAGCGGCGAGGGGCACAGATCCTCAGGCGGCCGCACGGTGCTGTGGCCGCTCAGCAAAACGCTGTTCTCGAAGCCGTGCCCCCTGTGTCCCCCGGAAGGGCCGCACAGGACGCAAGGCTGGAAGCAATGGAGCGGCAGATTGCCGAGATGAACAGGCGGACGGACGCCGGCTCGGCCACGCCCTCTTTCTCTCTCACATCACCCTTCACCCCCCGGGTGATGAGCGTTGAGATTCCCCGGGACTGCAGGCCGCCGGGCAACCTAGTGTACAATGGGACCGGCGATCCCAAGGCCCATCTGATTAGCTACCAAGGGAATCTGTCCATGCTGGGAGCATCGGACGAGGCCATCTGCAGATTGTTCTTCAGCACCCTCAGGGGGCCGGCACAGGAATGGTTCGGCCAGCTGAGGCCGGGCACCATCGACTCATATGAACAGCTTTCCCGGCAGTTCATGACCCAATTCGCTGCCAGCACCACCCCCAGGAAGGACGTCACGGCTCTCGCCCACATCAAACAGGGGCGGGACGAACCGCTGGCTAGGTTCCTGGTAAGGTGGAGGGACGAAGTCCTGCAGGTCGATGATCTGGACGAACGCCTGGCCACGAACATGTTCACCAGTGCCCTAACCACCGGAGATCTGTACCGGGACCTGAGGAGAAACCCCGGTACCAGCTACACCGAGGTTCTGGCTCGGGCCCAGAAGTATGCCTCCATTGAGGAGGAGATTAGGCAGCGGGACGGAGTTCCCGCGGCCCACCCGCGGAAGATGGCGGACAGGCTCGGACCCAGACCAGGGCCTGGGCCCTCCCCCCCAAACAAAAAGAAGAGGGCGGACGGGGCGATGGTCCCTTGGAAGGCTCCGTCCGGAGATATTCAAACGCGGCCGGACGACCGCCATGTCCCTTTGGCCTATCCAGTGAGCCAGATTTTTGAGGCCATCAAGGACAAGGGCCTCCTGATGGAACCACAGGATGTGAAGAAGCATATGAGGCTTGACCAGTCGGCCTATTGTGAATACCATCAGAGGGCCGGCCACCTGACGGACAATTGCAGCCAACTAAAGAAAGCAATCGACGAACTGATCCGTCAGGGGTACTTGGGCGAGTTCACCCAGCTGCTGAACAAAAACAGCCAGCAGAAGCCGAACCCAAGGCCTCGGACATGGCGCCGCGACGACCGGCGCGAGGCAGACCCCCAGGATGTGGATTATCGAAGTGCGGACAAACGTCCGGAGGGGTCCCTCGGCCCGAAGGGCAAAAAGAAGAAGCTGGAGATCAAGGTGATCTTCGGGGGCGCTGAGACGGGGGATACACCCGCCGAACGTAAAAAATTTGAGAGGTCACTCTACGTGGGTTCCATATCAGCACCCCCCACCAAGCGCAACAAGATCGAGGCAATCACCTTTGGTTCCGCCGATCTGCCGATGTCACCAGCACCGCACAGAGACGAGCTGGTGATCAGCATGGACGTGAACGATGCCATCGTCCGCCGCGTCCTTGTTGATACCGGGAGCAGTGTGAACGTCCTCTACTGGGAGGTTTTCGAGGGACTTCATACTTCCTTATGTCCTGCGCCTGCTTAGAACATCAGAAGTGGGGGACTTGTGTTGGGTTAATGGCCCAAGTCGAGGTCCGGCCCATTAACCCCTTTTTACAAGACGTACGCCCAGTTAGAACACAAAGGTTAGCCCGCAGGCCCATGTTCCTTGGGGAGGGACGAACGTCTTGTGTTGAGGGCTCTTGGGCTCAACGGCTCACCGCGACGGACGTCTATGCAGGGACAAGGAGCAGGACCACGGGCCATCAGGGGTGACGACGAACGTCTCCTGAGCAAGCCCGTAGTCATCGGAGGAAACCCAGGAGACGAACAGCCGGAACCTCTTGAGGGTCACTTGGAACGATCCAGCTCGCTTCCCAGGCGGACGAACGTCCCCATTATTTAGGCGGGAAACCTAGATTCTGGCGGGAAGTGCATTTAATGCTGAAGATTTGGTGGTTGGGACACAAGCGGTCCACAGGCCTCCACGTCAGCATAGCCACCTGCCCATTGGCGGGTATAAATAGAAGCATTTATTTCATTGTAAAGGGTTGGCAACTTTCTATTCTTAGCATCCTAGCTTTAGCACTCTTACTCGCGGCATTTCTAACTGCCTTGTAAGACGAACGGCCGACGTGCCTTTTTTAGCAAGTAGATTGTACTTAGGGGAGTTATTACGAAGTTAATAGTACCTATTTACATTGCCTGCTACTTCCTCTGTTTCCTGATCCATCTGATAGTTGTTGGGCTAGATATTCATACATTCACTCCACTCGAAATCTTTGGGCTTGCGTGTTGGGTCTGAAGGTTGAAGGAATAAACCTCAACAAAGCTGTTAGGATTAATTTATATTAAAAGTCACGAGCTTTTCTTAGATGCTACTCCCGGTAGCATCTCAAAAAAGATCTTTTAATTTTTAAAAAGCTCTTAAATATTGTCATGTCAAACACACAACTAGAAGCTTTTAGAAACTTTTTGAACAGTACAAAAGCTAGAAGTCAGGGACTTATGTTCGCCAAACATAGCCTAAGTCTTCTTCTGCAATAGCGGATTAGCAGGTAAAATGGTAAAGGGAAAGTTTCCGAAATGGGACTAAAAAAGTTTGAAAATTCCAAAATAGGACTGTCATGTTTTTATTCCCAAAATATGACTAATTACTGCCAAATTTGGAAAATACTGCCATGTTTGAAGTCTTGTACTGCCAAAACATGACAGTAATTAGTCCTATTTTGGTAATAAAAACGTGGAAGCCTTATTTTCGAATTTCCAAACTTTTTAAGTCCCATTTTGGGTGATATCTCAATGGTAAATACTCACTTGTGGAGGGATTGAGATCCATTCACTTAAGAGTTGATAAATACGGGAACAAAAACCATAATACTCAATTACATATATCTAATAATCAATAGAGAATATTCCATGCTCAATGAAAGACCGACTAGGGGTTGCCTTGGCAATGGCCGGCCGGATGGGAAGAGGAGCGCCTCGAGATACGCGCAAAAGTGGACTCCAATAATCTTCGACCGTTGAGCTCTAGATTTGACGGTAGCCCTCGGCTAGGCACTCTACCTTGCTGCTAGAGCAAGCCAGAGACCCCGAATCCCCTGTGGACCGTCACTAAAAAAGTATTGCCTCAGTTACTAGGTTTCTAATCCAAAAGGTGGAATTGCACACTCCAAACGTCCCACACCCGACCGACATAATGGTGAAGAAGTAAGTCACGGGATGATATCAAATGATTTCTGAGTGAGGTGATTCATGGTTTGATGCACACAAGAAGCCATCACATTAGATAAGTACCCCCTTGCCGTTGTCGGAAATTGAACATGAAACCTCAATCTAACAATCTCACTCAGTCACCGTTGAGCTACCTGTGCAGGTCAAGGTTTCTACTTTCTATGTTTGAAGGTTGAATTCCCACACTGA